TATATTCTATAATACCCATAAATAAGCGAATTCTCCTGAAACAGTGCTGAAAACTCCCTAGACTGCTCTGTATTCTCCTATATTGTAGATTGTAGACTATATCAAAGTAATGTTATGAAAGTCATAATAAAATATAAAATAGCCTTATCAAACATATAACACAAAATATATTCTTGGATTATTTAATCCTAAACAGTAAATATCCTCATGTGAATAGATATGAGAACCCTTAGATTCAATAACTTGTGGCACCTCCTTTGACCAGCAATGACTTTATCAAGATGTTTCCTGTACCAATTTTTGAGTCTCTTGTATAGGCTTTTAGGAATTTGGGCCGAGTCTTTGTTACAGAGCTTGTTAATGTAGGTCACATTTGAAGGTTTCATTGCATGAGCAGCCCACTTCACGTCCTGCCATAACATCGCAATGGGATTCGGTTTCGAGCTATGACTTGGCCAATCCGAAATGCAGAAGTTCTTCGTCTTCAGCCGTTCTTTTGTAGATCTGCTATTTTAGGACTGTTGCCTTGCTGAATGACCCACTTTCAGCTCAGCCTCAGCTGATGAACGGATGGCCTGACGTTCTCCTCCAGAATTCGCTGATACAATGCTGAATGTATGATTCGTCAACAATGGCAATCTGTCGCTGAGGCCCTGATACTCCCTCCACCATGCTGAGGTGCTTCTGCTGGAAGATAGTGTTTGGTTTTTGCCGCACAGAACTTTCAAATTTTGACTCATCTGTCCAGAAAATATTTTTTTTCTGGCTATCCTCCCATGAAAACCTTTCCAATTTCTTATGGTTGAGGCATTTTCACTGACATTAGCTGCAGCAAAGCTATACTTGAGATCTTTAGATGTTACTCTGGGGTTCTTTGTATCTTCCTGGATGATTTTCTGCATTGGTTTTAGGGCGAGTGAGACACAGTGGAACAGTGGTTAGCGGTGCCCCCGGTTCAATTCCGGCCCAGGGGTGCTATCTGCGTGGCGTTTGTTTTTTCCCATCTTTGCGTGCTTTACCTCTGGGTGCTCAAGGTTCATCCCACAGCCCCAACCAATACAATTTTACTACGTTAAATGGCTTCTGAGAAAATTGGCCATAGATGTGAATGTGTGGGTGTCTGCCCTGTGATTGACAGGCGTCCCATCCAGGGTGTACCCTGCCTTGCTCCCATTGCTTGCTGGGATAGGCTCTGGCTTCCACACGGCCCAGAATTAGAAGAAGTGGTTAGAGCTGGATGGATGACTTTGGGGAGACTGTTCATCCAGAAAAATATATTATATAAGATATATAAATATATTTAAAATATATACTATATTATATAAATTATAAATTCAGTTAGTATATGTATTAAGTATGTACTATATAATTACATATTATATATTATATTTTATATTATAGGAAATATACATAATCTTGAATATATTCTATTTGTAGACTATCTGTCTGACAGTCTGACAGTGGATGTGTAGAGCACCAAATGTCCAGACATAATTTTGTAACCCTCTTCCAACTGAAAACAAGTTTGTTTTCTGAGGTCCTCTGGAATCTCTCTTGATCCTGACTTCCACTAACCTGTACGTTGAAGATCAACTTCACAAACTTTCTGAACATTATATAGAACAGAACTGTAATCCATGTTTATTTTTTACCTAATTATTTAACACCCTGGTTCTAATTCCCACCTTAATTGGGCTATGTAAACTAGGAATTCTTTTGTTAATTTTCATACAATAATCGTATTCATTTTTTTCAACTTCAGACTCCATTGCATCTCAGGAATGATGCTTGGCCAACAAGATTGCTTGGCCAACAGTAGTCAGTGCAAATCTGCATGAAATGTGGGCTACAGTTCTGGAGCTCCTGTGGGGTGAATTGTGCATCTTGTTGGCAGAATTTTATTTATCTGACATCCACTGATTTTAAATCCTTGAGGTGGTCTAAACTGACATTTTACCAAGGTCTGCTGTTGCCTTCAGCAAGTTGCATGCTCCAACAGTTATAACTCTTGTGGGGACACTTACATCATCCTTTATTTCCAAAACAAAGCAAGCTAAGGAAAAGGTCTGGTCTGATGCTACTTTACAATCCTCAACAATGATGGGATGTACTCTACAATGTGCCAGTATGTACTTTGGACTGGATTAGCCTGTTTTATATTGCATTATAAATGCAAACATAAGATCTAGAATACAGAAAATAACCTCCAAAATATTTAACAAGACTTTAAAGTTCATTATTGGTTTATGTATTGGGTTTATACAATTTCTTCTTTGGGAACAATTGTACTTGTGCTGTTAACAATAATAAATTAAGCAATATTAATGTCAAATATTAATATGATTTAAAAATATCACAGTGTATAACTATATACAATATTTTACATTATTTTTACTTTCACCAAGAGATCATTTGTGACTCTCAAAATATCATCTTAATACAGATACAGTATCCCTATACTGCATCTTATTTTTCTTTCAAGCGGAGTTCTCCCTGTGAGATTTCAGCCTAACAGAAGTCATTAAGTACTTCCTGTATTTAACCAGACTAATGTTTCATCAATATGCGGTTTCACACCCACTATCTTTCTTTAAGTAGTCATGAATACTGTCATGAATGTTTGGAGGACATGCTGTAGGTGAAGTTCTTTCCAAATGCTTGGTCAAAATGCTTTCATTACTCTTTCTCTTATAGGAAATGGCAAAACTTCCTGACACTTAAGGTATAAAGAAATCAACAGAAGTATGTAAAGTGTATATAAAAGTCACTGATCTGCACATTAAATTCTGTACTATCAGACAACAAAGGGATGTTAAAGATTTATTTCAGTTACAATAAAATAAATTATTTTGGAACTTACACAGCATCACCAAATCAACATATTGCTGACTTTGATATAATTGATAGTTTCTAGGGATTTGGTGTTGGAATGAATATACTTTCAAAACTACTTGAGTGTGGGACTGAGCCTCTTTGCTGTTAAATAAAAATCCATCCATGCCAACATGCTCTATAGGTGCCCCCACCTGGTACTGTAGGAGGGAGGCAGGAGACCAGCTGCTGGGACAGTTCTGTACCACAGAGATGATACAGGTCCAGCAATAGTATTGAACATCCTGGTGTCCGTCCCCACTACAGAGAGCCCTGAGCCAGGTCCAGCACACAGGAATACCAATTTCCATTGCCCCCCCCCAAGCCACTTCACCAGCAGTAAAGAGCTCTGTCCAACAAAGACAGAAGTTCCCAGAGTCTTCCAATCCCTCTTGAATGGGAGCCCAACCGGGTTACTGCCTCTCTCAGGCTTCATATCATCCTTTCACTGTCTTTCATCCGCTCACAGTGCTCCCCATTCATGATCAGTAAAGGGGAGTGGCTTTGCAGGCAAACTTTTTCACAAAGCAGTGATAGTAAGACATCAGCTCTGCAAAACTCTCTGTACGTGTTACGGTCAACATCCCTCCTCTAGAGGGCGCTCTAATTGGCTAGCCTTTGGACTTAATGATTCCCTGGTGTGTCTTGCTCACATTCTGTCATTCAAACCCTGAGCCTCGGGTGTTTCGGGGCTTGGCATTGGAAGACGGACTACCACCCGGTCCAGGAGAGGCTCAAGGGCATACTGTAGGTTTCGTAACGGCATCCTGACCCACTGAGTCCGGGACTCGGCGTCTCCTGTCCCATTCCTGTTCCGTGTCTACGTGTTCTTCATCCTGTTTCCCCCCTTCCGGGGATTTTATCCTGTCTTTGTCCCGGACGGATCACCTGGCCTTTGGATTTCGAATTAACTTCCTGAATACCCTCTTGGACCTGCCCGAACTCGGATGCCTATGGTTGCTTTCCCCTGCGCACTAGATCACGAACTGTAACCCCTCACTGGCTTCACTGTTTTTTCCCTGAGTCTGTCTCCTGTTCCTTCAGGATTGGACCGTCACCTGGCTCTGAGGGCCTGTGCTGCTGTATAATCAGGATTCCTTCTCTCCCTGGTGCTGTGGATGTGGTCCTCCAATGTCAGCAGGTCGTGCATTACTGATAAGCGCTTCTGGGGTTTGCTCTTAATGACATTCTGGTCAGGCAAGCCACCCTTCTCTGCAATCTGGCCCTCCAGCCCTGCCTCTAAAGCTTCTCAGGGGTGGAGGCAGGGGGGCCTTCTGAAGGCGGACCTCTTCTTTAGTGTGGCATGGTGGAGGAGGGCACATGTTCTTTGACCATCAGAGGTCAAAGCTTTCTTTTCCCCAATATTCATGCACTGATGGAGTACTGGAGTACCAAAATCCATTTCAGCCTGGCTGCTTTAGCATCTGTGGCTCGCTGGTGCCTTTGCCTCAGCTGCCCCTTCCCCCAGGCAGTCACCAGAATGCTCTGCCATCTGGTCTCCCTGTCCATCTGTAGGTGCCCAGCGCTCCTCCTCTGCGTCTTGTCTTCTTCTTGTCTCTCCAGGTCCGGGCATCTTCCCTCCTCTCCTTCCACACCACTGCAGATAACTAAGTAGTGATCACAAGCACTCAGAGGCGGAAGGGAATTCTTGCTCCAGCTCTTTTTGTGTGCAAAGGCTCAGCGTCAGCTTCGCAGTGCCACCTTCTGGAGATTTACACAGGCAACACACCAGTCTCACTACTATTACTACAGCAATGTCCCTCCCAGTTAGCGGACACAGTACAGTAGGTAACACTGTTTGTGCCTTCCCCCTGTTATACGCTGCCCTTTTGTGCCTAGTACACATTTTTACAACCAGTCATACAGTATCAGCACACATAGTAACTGCAGAGTAGCGCAAACACATCATGAGCTGTACAGACATTACAGTCCTGCAGGATGTAGCTGCAGATATACTCTTCTGCAATAAGCGGGTCAGCCCCAGAGTATAACTGTCTCGCAGCTACTGTAATCTGGTGGCATCTGGCCACTATGATATCCTACTATTTAATCAACATACAGTGTAGGGGTTTATCGTTAGTTTGATCGCCATTTTACTGCAGGTGTGTTTATGGTGTCTTTTGGCTTCGAACGCATTTATAAAACATAACGCACTGTTTTTACGGGTGTCGGCGGTTTTACTGCCTCGCATCTACTGTAGGTATTTACAAACGTCTCTCTATCTCTCAGCACCAGGCTATCAGTTGGCTAAGAAACAGCACCGCGCGTCATGTGTCTTTAAGAGTAAAAAAGCCCTCTGGCCAGTTGCTTGCTGAGGTGGAGCTCTTCTCCCTACTGTCCTGCATTGTGGGCAATGTGCTGCTGTTAGTCTCAGTCGGGTTACCCGTTGCTGGTGAACTGTAACAGCACTTAGTATTGGTTGCTGGGCATTGCCATTCGAAGGTAAAAAATTAAGCCTCAAGTCAATTTTTTTAAGTGCAGACCTTCCACAACCGAGCATAATGAAGTTCACTGAATTAATTCTGACTTGAAGTGGATCCCTTTCTTGTGGAACCAAACTCATTTAAATCTTCTAAGCAGAACTGTAAAATAAAAAGGGGGAATTTCTGATGATGGAATTCAGTTCCCAGGGGACCTGGAGGGGCTCTGAACTGTAGATAGCTGCCTTCATCCTGCTACACAAGTACATCAGTGGAGCTACGCTGGCAACCTTAGACTCTTCACCCGTGTTATTAAGCAGAGCTACAGTAGGTAAGTCACATTGAATTGTCCTACTTTATTAAAGCCTGCGTAATTTCTATGGACCTAACGTGCACTGTAACGTGAACAGTGCTGATTGCTTATTTCTATAGATAAAAAGGAGAAAAAAAAGAGACATGCATGGTTCTTAAATGTATTTGCTATTGTGAGATATACTGTACAGTCAGTAGGCTATTGCGCTAGATGACTTAAATCGTACCGTACTGTATATGGACACGAATTTTAAATGCGAGACAGCAGGGAGTAAATGAATGAATATTGCCGCGATTCCTATCATAAACCTGAGCTTTGGTAGCTCACAGCTGAAACTATAGTACGGTAGTTTGTACTCCTTGGAATACATGAATGGGCAGCCCTAACCAGCGGGAGAAGGCAGTAGCATTTGGACCTCAAAGTGCGAAAGAAAAGGTTCATTGACAGTTTGCCTTTACTTCCCTCTTGTCTGACTTGCTAATATGAATTACTCACCACTGTTAACTGATTAAATCGATTCCATGTGCCTGCTCTATCATGTGCTGTTGTGTGAAAACGGGTGAAGTGGAACCCGGTGAAAATGACGCTTGAACTGCTGTACGTTCATTCATAGATGGGTGTATCAATGGTCGACTTTTAACTATGCACAGTTTTCCCATATGAAAAACATACAGTACATACACCACTCTTCGAGATTCATTCCCCATTAAACAGAAAGGAATATAATAAAGCGAAATAACACCAATGGAATTAAAACGGGAAAAAAATGTCATTTTCAGCTGTATGCTGTATAATCTCATTTTGACTACAATGTCGAATTAAATTAATGTGCAGTATATTGTAATGGTTGGTTAAGCATTATTAAAATAAACCTAGGCTGTTATTTTCTTCTTCATTCTGTTATGATAACAATGTCTAATTGTATTGCTGTGTATTAGTATGAGTTATGCAATATTACTAAGGTATATCCTAGTGATTTGTTTTAATCTTTATTCAATTAGGAATGCAGTGTTTAATTATTGTATATTATCATGGGTGATGCAATATTATTAAAATATACCTGAGGATTATTATTAAAGTAATCCTACACATTTATATAGGATTGTGTACTGTATTTACTGTATCTTATAACAAAATCTTGTATTTATTAAATATACTCTCTAAGTTGGTTTTAGAGTTTGGCTGATTAATTTACAGTTTCAGACAAAATTCTTCTGATTACAATGGTTTTTATGCTGAACTACTTAAACCAGTGTGTAAACAAAAAGATGTAGCTTTGCATTGCTGAAAAACAGCAGCTGTAGTCTCCCATGAACTAGTTTAATGGTACTCTACTTGTGCTGTATGGCCATTCAGTTGTTTCTGCTTTGTGTGCTGTGTATTATACAGTGTTAAGTGTTTATCACATATGTGGCACTCCACAAAGCCCTGTAATTTGCCTCTCTTAATGTATTGTTTAACTCTGCACATTGCTATTGAGTGGCAGCTCAGAATATTTTTGCAATGGATAGCACTTCTAAAATGTCCCTGATTTACAGTATCTGCTGCATTTTTATATTTGGGGGAGATAAGTTGTTTCCATGCTGTAAAGTAGGGTATTAGTTTTAGGCTGGACTTGAAAGAGTTACTGTACAGTGTTTAATAATCACTGTAATGACAATACATAAAGTTGTTTTCTTAAAACTGCCGAACGATTCACACATGACACCATTGTGATGTCTTCTCTAGTAATGCAAACTACATTACCCATGACAGAGTAGCTGGCAAACAAATTTCAGAATAAAACTTTATTCTGTATAAAATGCCAAATGCCATGTCACTGAGATAGTGGTGTTAGGGAGCTTGCAGTGAAACCTAAAACACACCATTTACAGGTAGGTAATGCTACATCTTTAAATGCTGTTATATAAAATTTGCAACTGTCTCTTATTTGAAAAGCTGTTGTGAACATGAGAGAAAAATGTAAACGAAAATGGTTTCCCAACAACTGTTTAAAAGAGGCGTGTGTGGGTGGGAGAGAGGTGGTATGGAACATTGAGATTACTTGCGATAATGCATTTGTGTGACAGGGAAATGCTAACAGATCTAAAACAAATACTATTCCCTGTATTTCAATGAAGGTCTGGAGCTGAAAACGTATGACAGGCATAGTGCTTTGTTTTTGCTAAGCATAAATATACCCTGCTGTATACAAGTAAGGTGTAAATAGTACAGTATATGTCAGGAATGACTTGCAGACCATCATGAAGATCAGAAAGACAAAAAATCTATTTCCTTGCTGAAATCTTTGCACCACTCTACACCACAGAGCAAAATGTTTTTAGGTGAAGGATATAGATGTAACATGATTGCATTATTATATATATTTTATAATATTTTCCTATTCCTCTTATTAGCAAAAAAAACCAAACATTTCAGGTTGTTCTGTTTCCAGATCTTATTTCTTTTTAAAAAAGAGCCTCTCATAGAAATGTTTGTAGTAGCCCATCCTTCCAGTCTCATCCTGAAATCAATTACTAAACTTAACGTTTGCTGCTTATTTACTGTTTACCAAGCTCAGAAAAATCTCCCCTCCTTATATGAAAGAGATTTGACAAGAGATTCTTTAACAAAACATTGAGCCTCAGAAAACAAAGACTTACTCAGCTGATAGCAGTGGTGTATGAGGACCAGTTCAGCTTGTAAACTGCATTATACTAGAGCAAACAGATTAATGGAAACATTGAACCCCACTTTCAAGTGATGGTGAAAAATGACACCATTACATTTTTTTTAATTTCCGTACAACTTGCGTACCATTTTCTGTTTTTTTTTTAAACAACAAAGAACAGTATCAGACTTTGTGATGTGATATGTATTGTTTTACATGTACCTGGTGTCCCGCTGTGAAAATTAGGGTGTAGAAATCATGTATCAAGCTCTGTCAGCTTGATAGAGGCCACTGGAAAAATGTCAAACGCTATAGAAAACAGATGTGTGCTGTCCTTCAGATAGAAACAGATTCCAAATTATTTTAAATTTACTTTCTTTTGCTATTCAGTGTAGCATCAGTGTCTCAACACCAACTGTCAGACCTAACCAGGGGAATTGTGAATATAATCAAGTCTAATTTTCTGTAATAAAACTCTAATGTGAAATGTTTGCTTTTGTACACAGATTGGAAGTAAAGCCCCATCTGAATAATACAAAAAGAGTGATATTTTAATGTAATATTGGATTTTAAATTTGTTTTTTGTCAGGTGAAATAAATGATCAATTTGTTAAACCTGATATCAAGAGGGAATTGCAAGATTAATTTAATAGTACTTTCTTTAATTAGATTGTTTATAACATAAACAAATAAAACATTTATTCCTGCATATGTACAGTATGAACTGAAGTGTGCATTCGGTGGCTTTTATTAGATACACTCTCAAAATAATTCAATTAGAAAAACAATCCAGGCTACAAAAAAGGCAGTTTAAATTAAAAATAAAGAATTGATGAATGAAAAATTCTGATTTTAGAACAGCTATTAATGTTCTGGGAAGCAGATGGTTTGGTACTTAATATGAAAATGTCATTGTTTGTGCTTTCGGGTAAGAACATAGTTTCAAAAAATATAAAAAAGAATGTTTTTTACAGTGTCAGCTTTGCCCTCAAAATACATATTGTTTCAGTATTTTGAGATAATTGTGATATTGTAAACATCAGTACATTATATGTTTGTTAGACATGCTGGCTTGGTTAATTTGTCTATAAATGAGTGTTACTTGGTGTTTCCTTGTGTGCGTGTGCTTTGTGCTGGACTAGTGTCTCATTCAGGAGGTTTCTTATCTTGGGCCCTGTGAGTATGGGATATTAGAATAGGCTTTCATGAATTCTTATCACAAAACAGCAGCCTATTGATAATAAATAGATACTTTATTTATGATAACTATAATGCAGAGATTTACAAACCTCAGCTTGGCTACCTGCAAAAGACTATTTCAACATTTATGTATATGAGGGTGGCATTTTTCTTCTTGTACAGTATACCCTGTTATAAAAGAGGTTTATTTAAACAATAAACAAATATTTATTGGTGTTAATGAGTTCCTACAGTAGGTGCATCTCCAGTCTATTTATACATTAACATGCCTTAACATTACAGAAATGCTTCTGGCACTCTGAAAATGGCCCTTTTTAAATAAGTTTCATTTTAACAATTGACTGGTTTCTCAGTTGTTGGAAAACGCCGAGCTCATCGTAGAGTTTTGCGAACAAAAGAGCTGGTGTACTAACCTACACACGCACAAAACGTTTTGAGAACAATGATACTTCTTTTAGAATTTTCAAAAATATCTCATGAGGATTCTGTTTTTTTGTAATAAAAAAGCATTAGATATAGAGTCTAATATGCACACATTTCTCAGTGCTCTGAAGCCATATGTTCTCCATCCCAGGTATCTGTGATCAGTAGGTGGTGCTATTATTTTGTATAAGATTGTGTTAGGCTCATACTGGATTAAGACATCATGAGGAAATAGTACATGCAATCGTCTTCTATTAATTAAATCATAGGAACAACCACCACCACATTTAGCTTTTTAGTAGCTGAACATATATAGTATTTGCAACATATTGAGGTCATCAAAGATATTTGTTTGATTGAGAGGCAAATTCTGATTTTGCTTTTTGAAGTACTGGGGCACCCCTGCTCTTCTGTCCCTCTGGGAGATCTCTGGAAGATGTCATGGCTGAATTCTTCCAGGTGTTTTGCGTTTACAGATTTGTGTTGCATTAAATTTGCTTGACGCTGTTGCAGTGAACAACAACAACAAAAAAAAGCTTAACTGTGTCACCTAACTGATTCCTTTCACTGCTTTCTTTAGAAAGGTAGAATTGACTGCGCTGAACAGTGTTTAATTGAAGTAATGGGTCTGGAATCTGGATCTCCAAGCCTGTTAGGAAGAATGCCACACAGTCATCCCTTTATTTATCTCAGCAAGCAGCTGTGGTGATAATTAGCCAGTTTCTGATGGTACAGTATGAGATAA